AACGTCTGTCAGCTTTACTCAATGATAGGTTGTATCTGCTGACAAGGTCATTGTATCGACCGAAAAACTTGCGAAAAATTGACTTCAAACGAGTCTGTTGATATCCTTTTTCGTAAACTTGTTCTCGATAGCTTGCCTCGTTTTAGAAATTGTTCATATGTAGAGCATGCTCTTGCGTATCGAATCAATTAAGAAACATGAACTCCATATGCAGATGATAAGGGTTTATTGCTACATAAGTAAGGGAAGTTGACGATTGAAAAGTTGAAGTCATCACGTTTATCATAAAGCTTTGTTGTTAGGTTACCATTAACGTCTTTTTCTAGTAAAATATTTAAAAATGAAACAGATGTGTCAAAACCTGTGGTATCTTTTATTTCAAGCTCACTGGGATATATCGAGTCGACATATGAATGAAAGTAACTATTGTTAATTGATAATACGTCGTCGATATATCTAATGTCGAGTTGAAGGCCATAGCAAGTGTTTTCTTCTTCTCATGTAGAAGTTTTTGAATAAATTCTGCTTCATATGAATACAAAAATAGGTCTGCTAATAAGGGGGCGCAATTGGTACTCATGGGAATTCCAACATTGTTGGAAGACCTGATCTCCAAAAACTACATAGATATTGTCAATCAGAAACTCAAGCATCTTTTTAAAATCAACTTCAGAGTACTTGTGTGTACAACCGGAGTGCTTTTTAACAAACTTGGTACCCCATAAAGGCTATATGACCCCCATTGGTTTTCAAGTCACAAGGTTTAAGGTCAATTCTCAAATCATTTGTATTAATTTGTAGAATTCTATATCTAGAACTTGTTCCTTTTCAATATTACCGCACGAGGACATGTTTCTTTGTCGTTATCTGTTCTTTATAAGTACGAATATATTTTTATTAACTGATTAACTGATTTGTGTATTATGTTCAAAAGTTTGAAATCGTGCTTTTTATCAGCTCCCAGATATAAATTCATATTAAGGATTAATGACAAGTCAGAGTGTATTTCTGCCTCTAAGTCCGTTACGCTTTGGGATATCCATCTCTATTTGCTACTCCTCTTATACCACTGAATTTTACTTTTTGATCGTACACATATTTCGGGGTTCCGATAGCAAAACATAATCACTGCCATTTTTTCTATAACATTGAGGCGTACCCATTAAGAAGTAAATAAGAAGGTGAATCACTATCCTCTCCTTTTAAATATGTGAGCAAATGTGTCTATCTATTTCTATGAAAACTATTAGTGTTTTCTTGTTTTTAATCAAGATAATGATGATCTAATTCAGACTGGTGCTATTTATACAGGCCCAGATGTGCTAATTATATCCCTCAGGAGTACATCTTCCTGTCTGCAATTAGTCAGGAGACGGCCACAGCGGGTAGGTTTCAAACATAATAAGGCTCATTTCTGCAGATTAAAAATCTGAGTTAAGAAAAAAAATGAAAATAGTCGTGCCTTTTTAAATGGATTTGAGTCAAGAGCTTAGGTTTCTTGTGGACATAAGTGTGGTAGTTGTACGAGGGTCGTTCAAAAATTACGTGGACTCGTTGCACAGAAAATATATTTGACGACATAATCAAGCAAAAAGTCACAAATAATATAAAAGAATCTTTTTATATATGGTCATCAAAATTTCATATGAAAATTAGTATCAATTTCGGGTGATTTAACAGGACATATCATGAAGTCACGGCGCAGTAAAACCTTCAACGTCACGGGCATTTTAAAAAATGAGAGCTTTCATTTTCTCAATATTTTCCCTTAGTATTTGATACTGTATAGTTTTGGTTACCTTATCCACTCAGAATAAACATCCATATACCATTTCTGATCTAGCTTAAAAACTATAAAACTAGTATTGTGTGTTCTAGTTTGTGTTAAACCCCAAAACTGCAGATATTTCTGAAGTAAAGTTTGACGTCAGTCGATCTCAATCATATTCTTAACAGTCCAGATCAGTGTTTTGTCGACGAACTTCTTCCATCCCTCCCAGACTGTCTTTTGACTAAGATCTAACAGTCTAAAATTATTTTCTGTATTTTAAAGAGATGTGTCGGAAATTTCGCTGGTTTACTATATGTTTCATCAAGCTTATTTTGGGTCTCCGTTGGCGTTTTCCCAGCACGATTCATGATTTGATAAAAGTGCGCTGATCCGTCAAATTACGAGACGTCATTTTTTAAATTGATTTCGTAGGGGTCAAATCGTAGAAAAACTGCAATATTTCTGTTAGTACTTCAAATATTACGTCAGAAATCTAAATACTAAATAATACAACAATAAAAAGAAATTTTAGAGAAAATTGTTGAATAATATCGTGAAATATGGAAAATAAATGAATAAAATATTGGATACCGCATTTTTGTATTTCAACATTTTTGCCGTGCTCCGTACATCACCATCAGCAGTATCAAAACAGCAATAATTTTAAGAGATATCAAATAAAATCAAAGTATTTAACCAAGGATTTATTGGGATCTTTAAGAAATATGTTTCTGCGAAATTTCAATTCTATATGACGTCTATAGGAGTAAATAATAGCAGAGTCCACGTAATTTTTGAACGGCCCTCGTACTTAGTTTTATTTTATTTAATTAATGCTGTACATTTTATTTCAGGAATTTCATTCATTCATTCATCCATACATTTATACAAGCGCTGCCCCTGCATTACTAATATTGTTATTTATTTATATGTTTAAAATCATAAACATCCCTATTTAAATAATGGTTTAACCCAAAGACTATGGGTTAAGGAAGATATATGGATTAGTTTATTTATAAATAAGGGAATTATCCGTTTTCATACATTCTACTGGTCAGTTGGCATTGTTTGGTCAGAGATGTCCATTCAGGCGGGAAACCCTTTGTTTTATTATTGCATTCAGAGTTACTGTTTGAGAGGGGTGTAGTGAGTTCTGTGTCTGAGTATTTAAATTTGATATTTTGGAGTATATTAAACACCCATAAACTGTAAGTAATCCTTTTATAAAACACATCTAATGATCATAAACTAAAATCAAAGATAATGAATGAAAATAAAGTATTTTAAATTTAAACTTGCTAAATGAGTATGAATGTGCTAGAGTGAAAGTTCTAAAGTTTAATATTAAAAATAAGACTGATATTGTAAAGAAGGAGCAAGTTATGTTTTAATCTAATTCATGTAGATCTTTGGAATTGAGATCTGGGTTTGAATTATTATGATTTTATAATTTATTAATCTATTAGGTCATCATGTAATAATCTTAAAGTCATCCTGATTGAGAGTATACAGTGTAATCACTCAGTTCCATACACTGGTATGTTAAACTCATATTTTTCGTATCGTAAGTATCGTAAATATTTCAGTATAGAGAAATATGATTTATATCATTAATTCAGTAAGAGTTTCAAAGAGTTATCGCCCTTTGAATGCGTTTGTATGAAGTGTAAAGTAATGGCCTAAATGAATGTTTTATGCGCTTAAATTGTGATCGTTTTGTGTTGTAAAGTGAATGTGCCTTTTTATACGTTGTCTATGTATTTATATGTTGTTATTGTTATTTTAGGGTTGATTAAAACATTTATTTCATCTATAAACTCAACAGTTTGAAATCATGCAACTATCTCCACGGAATAAATAAGAATCCAACCCTATCCCATCTTGCAGTTATTATTAATTTCTACAAGAAACGGTTTCATAAGTAAAGATTTGTTTTTGAATGTACAATGGTCATATAACTCCAGAAAAGCAAAGAATTCCACAGAAAATGCAACCAAAAAATAAATCTGTATATGTGTGGATTGTCTCAGTTTATAACAGTAACAGGAAAGTTTACACACTACTTGAGCAATAAAGGACTGTCTATTTGAAATTTGTAACCAATCATATTTTGACTTGCTCCCATGTCCTCTTGGAATCGATTGATTGATTGTTGTTTTTACGTCCCATTCGAGAATTTTTCACTCATATAGAGACGTCACCATATACCGGCGAAGGGTTTCAAATTTTGACCTTTACTCGGCACTTAGGGCCATTGAGCAGTGAGGGATCTTTATCGTGCCAACGCCTACCGTGACACGGGGCCTCGGTTTTTAAGGTCTCATCCGAAGGACCCGCAACTTTCACTTCAAAGTGCCGAGCGCATGGCGAAGGAACAGTTGCTACCCATTTTTCTTGGAATCGAAGACAAGATGGTGAGTAAACTTTTATCTGTTTGCACTTTTCGATGGGATATAATTCTGGCTGAAGTATCAGTGACACAGCGTAAATTCTAAATATTCAATTAATAAAACCTTGCTTTAATTTCTGATTTAGTTTTAGTTAAAGTTATTATTAAGTCAGAAAGAAGAGAGAGTGGAATAGAAAGAGATCTTTTTTCTTTACTACAGTATGTGTAATTCTGTAGATTTAACTGACTTCCGCACCGCAGACCCCAACATTCAATGTTTCAGTGACCTTGCGCTGTGTCCATGATTATAACCTATCATTGTTAATGATGGGTTTAAGAATTATGCACACAATGGCAAAGTCACTCAACCAAGAAGCTTGGGCTTGGAGTGAACCAAGTTATTTGGTAGCAGCAAAAACTCTTCGTTCGAGGAGTCGCCCGCGTGGCGCAGTGGTTAGAGCGTTCGCTCTAGAGTCGCGGAGTAAGGAGTTGATCCTTACGTCGCGGGTTCGAATCCCACTGTGGGACGTGGAGACCGGTCCTTCGGATGAGACCGTATAAACCGAGGTCCCGTGTCGCAGAAGGTGCTGGCACGAAAAAGTCCCTCACTGCTCAATGGCCCTGAGTGCCGAGTATAGGTCAAAATTTGCAACTCTTCACCGGCAAGTGGTGGCGTCTCCATATGAGTGAAAAATTCACAATAAACAAACAAACAAAACCTTCGTTCGAGGTGTGAAACATGTACTACATGAACAAATTACAGAACTTCATTACAAACTCAAACTTTTACTAATTGAAAACATTTTACCACATGTATAACTGTTATATTAGTTATAAACATTAAACCATATAAACAAAAGTATAAATCACACAAAAAGCAAAAAATACGATGGGGAATACGACCCTTGAAATATTGTCAACACTTTTTGCCGCTCTTTTCCCGTTGTTTAATCGTCTGTTTGAATTCTGTAAAATAAATTGTGTACAGGTTTTTAGCAACATGATTAGAAAATAACAAATCTTACTTAGCAATTTTAACTCGAATTATAGTGTATAGCTCACCATTTTACTATCTATTTCAGAATCATTTAAGGACCCAAACTTCTGGCGTCTTCTTTGCATCACATTTACGAAGGCAAACTCTAAAAGCGCAGCAAACACGAACGCCAGACACGTTGCCATCCAAACGTCGATTGCTTTCACATAGGATACCCTGGGTAGGGAGGAAATGGCAGAGCCTTTCTGTGTTGTCGTGGTGAGAACTGTAAGGATGCCTAGTGAGATGCGCGCGGGAACAGCGTCAATACTGAGCCAGAAGGAAACCCAGGATAACAGCACGATCATTATGGTTGGGATATAGATCTGGATCATGTAGAACCCAATGTTTCGATTTAGGTTGAAATCAACCTGAATGCAGGTGAAATCGCTATCAACTGAAAATATTCAGAAAACTTACTGTACATAGTCTTTCTTACATCGACTTCTTTCCTGTTGGATTTTAAAAAAAACGATTATTCATAATTACCTCATAAAAATTTGCATATTCATAAGAAGCAAAAAAGAGGAAGATTTACCGTTAGTTTTGTCACAAGTGTTGTTCGTTATAATGTTTACAAGAGTAAATTGAGGCAGCTCCACTGCACTGCTAGTGATTACGGGCCCATCGGACTTCCACCGAAATTCAATTCTTTTCCTTGTGTATGCAACTACACAGACCAAGAGTATTTTCACTGAACAAGAAACACCCATTCCTGAATTTCGTTAATATACATACTTCATAGAATTATACTTACAACTTTGTATGTAAAGGGAGCATGTTTGGGTGTCCATGGGATATTTATGAAGTCTCATTTGACAGGATGCGGTTAAAGATACCCTATAATAGACAGATTACTATTTTAGACCAACCGCCAGATGATAAAGAAAATGGAAAGAAGAAATACACTTACACTCTTTCCCAATTTTAACTAAGCATTCTGCGGGTATTGCATAAGCAAAACTAGTCCCCTACCGGCAAATGTAATCTGGTTCCCCTTAAAAATTGAAATGGCAATAATTCAGACAACAGACAATGATTATTGAAACGGAACAAATGCAAACTTGACATAACTCCTTAAGGCAGACTCATATTTCAAAAATCAACTCAATATCTGCAAACGTTTAGGAAAACAAGTATTCCTTTTAAAGGAATGATTGGCAGGGAGTCTTTAAGTCAGCAAAAATATCTTTTTTTAATTGACTTAAATTAATTTTTTGTATATACATATACATGTATTTAATTTCACATTATTTTTCAACTGAGTGTGACGTGTAAAGGATAACCTTATTAGAATGCTTTTATTAACATACTTAATTTAAATAGAAGAACAAATTTAACCAGGAATGGTTGTTATAAAGAGTAGTATTGCCACATTATGTTGCCTTTAAAAATTATATCTGTAACTGGAAAAATATACAATTGTTGACATTTTTTAAAGGGATGAGATACTAAAATCAAATGGGCTAACCTTTGTTAAAAAAAAAAGGAAAAAAAAAACCTCTGCAGATAAATTAACTCATTTTTTTAGAGAGTTCTAAATTAAAGTTGCACTGAAATAAAACTTAAGTACACGCACATGCATGCAATCTGCTCAGTTCCACACATAGTCAAATAGTCAATTTTGTAACAGATTTTTCTTCTTATTATAATGATTAGTTATTATGTTCAGTAATATCCCTAGCAAAGTTCGATCAAAGAAACAAGTCTAAAAGACCTTGTACATAATTTGCTGAACGAATTATAGCAATCGATATATATATTATATAATTAGAGATAGCGTCATCGTAGGTATTTAGAGGCAATGTGATTTTCATGTTTTGTTATGATATGGCTATATGATGTGTCAAGCTTTTTTTTTTTTTTTTTTAAAAAAATCATCATAACGTTAAAATTCAAAATACATCTAAACTGAAATCCGTAGGGTTTGAAATTTCTTAATAACGAAAAAGGGGTAAGTAGCGCTTTCTTAATTCGATCTGACTTGAATTTTTTTTTTTGCTTTCCAAAAGAAACTTCACCCTTACGGGAAGTGTGACTGCATGGTTCCCTGACATTGGGTAAAGGGCGTAGGCGCCCTGAAAAACCTATTCCAAGCGACAGGGACTGGAAACAGGGGCAGAGAACCAATGCTAAAGGGAAGTGTACCAAATGAAATTCTAACGTATGTAAAGAAAAATGCAAGTTTATTCACCATGTAAATATACGTTTCCATCTCAAGGTAAATGCATTAAAATAATGCTCGTTATCACGTAAAATGTTATGAAAGATTTACCTGAAGCTATCAGTATATATAGTTAACAAAGTAGTGCAGGGCGTTATGTGTGCACAGTTAAATTTGCCGGATGCCTCATATGGAATCAACTGTGATCGGCCGAAGACGATCACAACAAGAGGCCCAAGGGCCTCAATGGCCACCTGAATAAAATACAACAATTTAATGATCCATAGAATATAAAATAAAGTAATAGGTGAAGCTTTGTTGCCTAATAGGAGAAATAGGATTATCGTGATCAATGAAATAATTAAAGAGGCCTGGACCCAAATTTGAAGTTCATAATTTCTCAAATTTTCTGTATAATATCATGATTTAACAGAGCATTTCACTGGAAAATAAGAAAAACGTGTTCATAAACTTCTTTTTATCTGGATATTATTCAAACTACGAATTTCGGGTGCTTTTTCACAAAGTAAACTCTATCCTCAATACTTAAGAAAAGTAGAAATTTTGATGGGGGGGGGGGGGTGGTGGGCAGGGACCATGAAAGTCTTAATTTTTATTCCCCTTTACCCATAGATGCTATATGCCAAAATAGGTTGAAATTGGTTTAGCAGTTCCAGTGAAGAATTTGAAAATATTCAAATGTTAACGGACGACGACAGACAAAAATGGATAGCAATAAGTCACTCAGGTGACTTAAAAATGCGGAAAACAAAGTGGGAAATCTTGTCCCCTTAGAAAGGCAGTAACTCCGCCAAAAAAAACACGGAACCGGAACGTACGAAATTCAAAATTGCTGTGTTACTCATCAAGTACTAAAAATCAGCTAAATATCTCTTAGCGTTGAGGAAAAAATGCGGAAAACTAAGTGAGACAGACTTACAGACGAGGATGAAACTTAAAATACCCTCCTGTTTCAACGGTAAGGGACTAAAATCAATAGAGGAACAGAACACTAATGCCCCTATTAACTCGACTGAGTTAGCCTAGTATAATTGAAATTTTTTTTTATTACATGCGTAGATAGAAGAAGCTTTTTAAAAAATAGTATGCCAGACATTTTATGCAGCATAAAATAAACATATTCTATGTATTTTAGGTGTTATGTAACATTTACTGTTCCTGTCAAATTTGTTGATATTTTCTTTCAATTATATATTAATTTTTTTCCACTTATTTTTTTCATTAACGCGCGGTTTTCCTATCCAGTAATGAGTATCCATGAAAATTATTTTTTTTAAATGTCAACGTAAATGGTAACATTTAATGATTTGTTTTGTCGTTTTATTTGATGTTTTACTCTAAAATCCATTATTTAGCAATAGGATGACAGTGAAAAATGCAGATCTGCGATTCCTGATTGTAGAAATCGCAGTGCATTAATCCCCTAGCTAGACATTAAATCAGTTATGGCGTGACCAGAACTCCCATTATATATTTACCAAGATAAAATATAATCTAATTCTAATTGAACCATCTATTTTACTCTTATCCAGAGCCGATTTCATTACTATAAATTACATCATACGAGAGGTTGTGTCGCGAAACAAGATCTCGGCATATTGAAGTATTGTTGAATTACATGTCTGTTTAGGATTGTATTTAAAAAAATATTAAATTGGTGATAAAGGAAGGAAAACGCCAAATATTCCCATTTAGCAAGTATCTTTGAATTTAATGTCCGTCTAGCAGTGGATTTAAAAAAAAAAAAAAAACAACAAAATTAGTGATTAAACGAAAAAAAGCACCGAGATCCAATATTTAACTATCCAAACCATAGCCAGTTTGAAATGGTATTCTTTTAGAGAAATTCTTTCAATGCAGACTTGTGATTTTATATTATTTCGGAAATGGTTCTATCTAATGTTGCAAAGTGTGTTCCTTACAGAGGTTTGTGTTCTTCAAATCTAAAATTACACCAGAGAAAGGGGAATCATAGAATACACAAAAAACCGTGGACGACGAAGTCAGTAATTTAAAGCCAAGATCTTTCTTTTTTTGTTTGAATTACAGAATTCCATATATGAGATATAAGTTTTAAAATGTTGGTGAATGTCTTTTTATTAAAAAATTCAATAATTTTTGTACAATTTCCTTATGTCATTAATTTATGAGGTACAAATGTTATGTAACAGTATGACACAATTATTTTTCAAACAGTACCTATACTAGACACGCATACACGTAATTTAAAAAAAAAGAAGAAAAATAGATATAAGGCATGTGTCAATATTTAACATGTTTAATCAACAATCCTGCCCCGGGGGAATGAACAATTTTGGTAGAAACCTTTACACGAGTCCCCTACCCGTGAAACCCGATCTACAGGGGAAAATGTTTTCTTTAGAGACCCTATAGGTTAGAATGACCATGGCAATGTCAAAGAATGGGATAGATAGAAATTTGTCACCTGGGTGATTAGATATATAATCCAAAAGTATATTCAGAAAGACGCCTTTGAAAAGCATGTTAATATGGAACTAGGAAAACTTTGCATCTTCAGGCAACATACTATATACTGTTCTATATTCATCTGTTAGATAAAATGAAGAATAATTCTCAAAAATTGATTTAAGCCATTTACAAACCAAGTTTTAGAGTGTAAGTATGATCATTCTAGAATAAATTGCTTTGGAAGAAAAATTATCAAAGAACTAAAATAACACGAAAAGAATCGTGTCATTTATAATAGTAAGACATATGGATAAATATATTCTGCTAATTTGCATGTTTCTGTCCTCTGGATCATAAACAATGAAAATTAGAAAAACATAAGTAGGAAAATATATTTTTTTTATATAATAGGTGTGTAAATGAATCTTAGACTTCTCGCGTAGGCATATTTCATGAAGAACGATATAGCGCATTAGTTTCTATATCTAAGTGTATATCGGTATCCCTTTTTAAAATAAGTTTACACAAAAATGGTATTCAAATCGAAAATTCATGAGATTACATGTTCATTAAAACATAAAAATGGTAATCATATCGAAAATTCATGAAGATCTTATCACTAAAAGGAAAACCAATGCTTTTAACATACAATTGTCATTTTAACTCTAAAGCAGCTGGAATAAAATACGAGTCGCACTGTAAAGATGGAGAGTGGTGCAATCGACATGATTTCATTAAAATATCTCCGACCCGAGTTAAACATTCTTTAAACAAAAATATTCAAATGTTCACAGCATGCATCGTCGAGGACCATTATATTATGTATATGTACCAGTATTTAAGGTGCACTTGTCGCTCATATCGGCACATATTGTCGCCGGTGTCGATACCGATGGACATCAAAAGTTCAGTGAGGGTAGACCATGTTGCCCTCGGCGACAGTACATTGTATGTACGGGGCCATAAAAATGTACGATCATAGGGGTGTTATCAAAGCTGTCTTAGGAATATCCTACACTAAGACTTGTTACGTAATTGGCATACAAGTATATAAGTAATTCAATAAGTATTATAAGTAATTTAAACCTTTTTGGACGAAATCAGATAGTTTTTATTTGTATCCTGTGGTTCTAAGGCTCTCAAATGATATATGAAGATAAGAACAGTAATCAAGTTGAAAAGCTAGTCCACTGGAATACCATGGTAATACAAACTGGAAGCAGAG